CCTCCCAGCTGCCCAGAGTAGCCTGAATACTGGGGTCCAAAAGACAGAGCATGCGGAGCCTCGCTGAAGGGGACCAAGGTGGCCAGCACCCTCGGTGGGCCCGCTGCTGGAAGACCACCTGGCAATGGGGTGCAGCGGGGCCCCTGCACCGCCCATGGTGGACCCCGGAGTGGTCATCCCAGGCCTTCCCCACTGTACACTGCAGGCCGGCTCCTCAGCAAGCCCCCCGTGTCCCCCCATGTCCTCCGTGACCTCCAACGACCTTGTCTGGACGAGTGAGGACAGAAGGCACGGCCCAGCGGGGGCAGGGCGAGCCCCGCCTCCCCGCTAAGCCAGTCTGCGCCCACCTGCACGCGCCACGCACGCGCCACGCACGTATCAGACAGCCGGGGCTCGGGGCCACACCCGCGGCAGGGCCCCTGGCAGGCTCACCTCTCCGAGGCGCGCAGGCTGCCACTGCCGAACAGGTTGCGGATGGAGCGCGAGGCGGGCAGCTTGGCGTCGCGGGAGCAGAAGACCATGCAGAAGTCCTTGGTGATGACGGCCGGCTGCGTGCAGCTCTCCATCTGCAGGGCCGGGGTGCAGGGGCTCAGGCGCAAGGACGCCCTGGAGCGTCTATCCTCTCAGAGGCAAGAGCCGCCACACTGAGCGCAGCCCAGGCCTTCCAGGGCTGGCGCGGCCCCACACTCGGGCCTGGAGGGGGTGCGCAGTGTCCGTGCAGGCGCCCGAGGGCCCTGGACACAGGCCTGGCCCTCACGGCCCCAGCAGTCTCGCCACGAAACCAGGGTCACTGCAGGGAGCGCTCGTGAGGACACGGCCATGTGGCCTTGCACCCACAGGACCACGCGGTGGCAGTGGCTGTGCTGTCTTAAACAGCTGGCTCTCCCCGGAGCCCAGGGAACTGCTGACAAAGCTGGCGGGTGCCGGGGACTTGTTTGGGCAGAGCGCAGCCAGGTTCCTCAGCCCGGCAAACCATCGCCCTGCGAGGTGGTCACACAGGCCCCGCGTCACCCCTGGAGTAACTAGCTTGGGTGGGAGGTGGGCGCCCTCACCTTCACTGCTGACCCCAAACCTCCCGAGGCCACTATGCCTGGCCAGAAACACCCACGCCCCCAGCCTCCTCCCGTGCTCACAGGGAACCCACAGCCCGAGACCCCGGGGATGGGGGAGGGTTCTGTTTTCATGCTGCCTGGAACACGGATGCAACGTCTGGTGGGGCTGCAGCCACTTTGCGACCCCAGGAACAGCTCCCCACAGCAGAGACTGTGGAGTGGACTAGCCGTGAGCACTGCCATCCAGAGCACGTGGCTTTAACGAAGACTGGGAAGTCCCCCGAGGGGGGGCGGCTGTCGGGGCTGCCCAGGGCCCTAGGCCGCCGGCCAGCACCTCAGGCTGGGGGCCGGGTGACTCCAGCGGCACGCCCTGGACTGGGTGCCTTGCCTCGATGTAAGCGGAGAGGGTCACGTAGATCTTCTCCCGATGAATCAGCAGCACAGGGAGGCATGGAACTGTCCCACGCAGCCTCGAACTGGTAAAAGGTCCTGGGTGGGGCAGAGACGCGGTGAGGTAACCACGGGCGGCCGCGCGCGGCTGGGGCGGGGACATGCAGACGGACAGACAGACGGCATGTGGGCCACCCACAGGATTGCTCTGGGGCCACGGGTCCGGAAGCCTGGGGGGCGGTGTCCAGGAAGGACCGACCCTCCTCACTCAGGCCCGGGGCGGGGCAGGTGGCTCCAGAGGCCACCAGCAAGGTGAACCAGCAGCCAGCTCCACCGTGGAGGGACGGACTGGACACCTGAGCCCATAGCTCTGGGGCTGGGGCGAGGAGAGGCAGGAGGGCCGAAAGCGAAGGACGGAGACAGGGGAGGGAGGGAGCGGGTGTGAGAAGGACGGCGGGGAGGAGGGGGCGGGAGGGGGCCTCGGTCTGCGTGAGGAGGCGCCTGGGCCTCTGCCTGGACCCGAGGGAACCGGTCTGGGTTTGCAGAAACCCTCCAGGGCCCCTCCCCTCCGTCAGGGCCCTCGGGAGGGTGCTGGGAGTGGAAACCGGGTGGCCGGCCACAGAGGGCTCTGCTGCCCACGGCGCGAGGCCCCACCGTGCACAAAGCCGTAGTGGCCCCTCCTCTCTGGCCCGTCTCTGACCCAGAAAGATGACGAGCAGAGCGTGAGCCAAGGGCCCACGCAGCGGCACCTAAACTCTGGCCTTAGGCCGGGCGCATGTTCCGCCGTCTTTCAGACTGGAGGCGGGGACGCCTCGGTCCACGCCACGGTCGCCCGCGGGCCCCGGGCGGTGCTGCCGCC